GCAGAAGTTGCACTTTGAGAAAGCTGCAAGTTTTTTATCAAAAGTTGGTCCCAACTCTGCAATCTGCTCATCGCCTGCCTTCACATATAACACCGACAGAACCAGGATAAACACAGCACTGATCTCTTACTTGGACTCGCAAAATATTAAGGTCTTGTGCAGGTGCACAAGACAGTGTAGGTACACGAATCCTAATGAAAGCCAGCCAACCATCAAAGACAACATAGGTTCAGCTTGCGATATCCCAGACTGTCCGATGGGTGATTTGGTTAGTCACGTAAAGTCTCTATTTAAAACTTGTCCTCAATTCTTTTCTTTTCAAATTAGCATTGCTGCTATCCTCTGCAATCTAAGACGCTGCTCGCAAGACAAAGACGCCTGCAGCACAGCAAAACTGGAAAGATTCGTATCCGACAGCTTTAACATAGGTAGAACGAGATTCTACCAGCTTTGCAATGTTGGTGAGATAACCAGAATAGCCCCGCAGTTAAAAGATGTGAATCCTTCCAAACATAACACGTGTTTTTGGGAGGTCTTTTCAAATTTGGGAGCTGTGATAAAAAAACTCGACGATCCTCAAGGTAAACAGTTTGTGATGTTGTATTGGAAGATTCGGGTGCTTGCCGTGTGTAAACTGTTAAACTATCCGCTAGATATCCTGGAGCAGTGGCTTCTGAAGACAAAGTCTGACTCCAAAGAACTGGAAAAGATTTTCCAAGAGAAGAAGCTCTTTACTGACAGCCAAGTGGAAAGCTGGAAAGAGGAGAACATTATTTTGTAAAAACTCATTTTATTAATTTTCATATTATTAAATAATCATTTGCAAAAATGACATTTTATTAAACAGAACTAATGGTCGTCAGCATCACTTAAGCAAGGGTACATGAACCTAGGGTTTAAGAACTTTCTTGCAGAAATTTGCCTTTTCAATTCTGCAAACTTTACACTTCTGTTAAGCCAAGCAATCTGGTATAAGCTCATTTTTGTGGGACGTAACTAATTAATTAAGATGTATTTTTACCAAAAGAACCAAAAAGGTAACAGAAAATTGAATTGTTGAAATAGAACTATGTTAAATATATGTTAGATATTATGTTAAATATCAGCTGTTATTATGAAACAGTTCTTGCTATAATTTGTGTGTCAAGCAGTGGTTGATTACTACAAATTTATGCATCAAATGTGGTATTAATTTAGTGTTCCTTGATCTAGAATAGACAGATTATGTTTGAAATCATGTTAAACTGGGGTTAAAGGAAAATACCTATAGAGCATCTGTGAATGTGAAGGCTGTTTACAAGTAAATTCACTATGTGGAAAAGCTCAGAAAAGTCAAATAGGTGCTTATCGTAATCATAGCGGGGCACAATGTTAGTCGCCCCGGTATGTGCAAATCACATTGATAAAAGAATGCAACCCATAATTAAAATTAGATTGGGAATACAATATAGAAGGATGGTTATCCCACCCCTTTTGTATCAAGATCATATTATGTTTGCATCTATATCTATAGAGAAAATGCAGCAATTTATGAATATAAATTAGGAACCTCAAAAACAAAATCTTATAAACTTAATCATTGATAACAGTATAAGAAGAAAATGACTTCTAAGAACAAACATGGTAAGGACTAAAGTACCCATATTAGGAGATATTCACTTAGGAGATATAGAGAAATGCATAAACACTACAAAAGTGAATAGAAACTAATTAAAAGATAGAAACAAATTAAAAGATAGAAACAAATCTTACCACAATATCGGTTGATCATAAATCTAGATTAGGCACACAGCAACAGCTAGGTAGATTGAGATTCAGTCTGTGTCTACAATTTCAAACAAGTCTTTTTAGTGTAGTGAAATCATGAAATAATGAAATATGCTCAATAATTTAATGTTCCTTGAGCTAGAAAAGACAGATTATGTTTGAAATCATGTCTACCATATTTAATTTAAACTGGGGTTAAAGGAAAATACCTATAGAGCATCTGTGAATTGAACAAAGAAGGCTGTTTACAAGTAAATTCACTATGTGGAAAAGCTCAGAAAAGTCAAATAGGTGCTTATCGTAATCGTATCCGGGCACAATGTTAGTCGCCCCGGTATGTGCAAATCACATTGATAAAAGAATGCAACCCATAATTAAAATTAGATTGGGAATACAATATAGAAGGATGGTTATCCCACCCCTATTGTATCAAGATCATATTATGTTTGCATCTATATCTATAGAGAAAATGCAGCAATTTATGAATATAAATTAGGAACCTCAAAAACAAAATCTTGTAAACTTAATCATTGATAACAGTATAAGAAGAAAATGACTTCTAAGAACAAACATGGTAAGGACTAAAGTACCCATATTAGGAGATATTTACTTAGGAGATATAGAGAAATGCATAAACACTACAAAAGTGAATAGAAACTAATTAAAAGATAGAAAAAAATCTTACCACAATATTGGTTGACCATAATTCTAGATTAGGCACACAGCAACAGCTAGGTAGATTGAGATTCAGTCTGTGTCTACAATTTCAAACAAGTCTTTTTAGTGTGGTGAAATCATGAAATAATGAAATATGCTAAATAATTTAATGTTCCTTGAGCTAGAAAGGACAGATTATGTTTGAAATAATGTTAAACTGGGGTTAAAGGAAAATACCTATAGAGCATCTGTGAATGTGAAGGCTGTTTACAAGTGAATTCATTATGTGAAAAAGCTCAGAAAAGTCAAATAGGTGCTTATCGTAATCGTATCCAGGCACAATGTTAGTCGCCCCGGTATGTGCAAATCACATTGATAAAAGAATGCAACCCATAATTGAAATTAGATTGGGAATACAATATAGAAGGATGGTTATCCCACCCCTATTGTATCAAGATCATATTATGTTTGCATCTATATCTATAGAGAAAATGCAGCAATTTATGAATATAAATTAGGAACCTCAAAAACAAAATCTTATAAACTTAATCATTGATAACAGTATATGAAGAAAATGACTTCTAAGAACAAACATGGTAAGGACTAAAGTACCCATATTAGGAGATATTTACTTAGGAGATATAGAGAAATGCATAAACACTACAAAAGTGAATAGAAACAAATTAAAAAATAGAAACAAATTAAAAGATAGAAACAAATCTTACCACAATATTGGTTGACCATAATTCTAGATTAGGCACACAGCAACAGCTAGGTAGATTGAGATTCAGTCTGTGTCTACAATTTCAAACAAGTCTTTTTAGTGTGGTGAAATCATGAAATAATGAAATATGCTCAATAATTTAATGTTCCTTGAGCTAGAAAAGACAGATTATGTTTGAAATCATGTCTACCATATTTAATTTAAACTGGGGTTAAAGGAAAATACCTGTTTAATCAAATGTCATAATCAAATGTCATTTCGAGTCATCTTGAGCTCACTACACAAGTGGAAATTAGGACGACAGCTAACATTCTCAAGAGGTCCTTGAAAAAATATGAATCTCTGGCAATCATCTAACATCTCACAAGTTTCACTCACTCTGAAGTACAATTTTCTCGCTTCTGTAAGAAAATGTCTCCACTGCTGCTTCCCAACAACAAAGATGGCCTTTGACATGAAAGGGAGGTCCCTAGCTTTTCAGGAAGGGAGGTTGCTAAAGTTCTCTACCTCTAGCTGCATCTAATGAAGTGCTCAAGGCCCTGTTGATTGCCCCTCTTGTCTAATAATTGTTCGGCTTGAAATTTAATATCAAAATGCAAACCGAGGTTTTTGCTTTTCCAATAGAGAGTATGCTGAAAAGTTTTTTTTATTCGATATAAAAAGTTACAAACGAGACTACCGAAAACTTTACTGAATGGAAACTGCTATACTACATAACAAGAGCCTCCTAGCACAAACAACAATGTTAAAAAACGAATGGAGATTTAAAGATTTTTGTTCCTGCATTATTCGAATCCTTCGGAGGCCTGGATGTTCAAGGCCATATTGGATGACTTTTAACAAACCACGAGGCAAAAATATTGCATGTACACTGTTGAGAAGATCACTTCTATTTACATCATAAGTATGGCAGCGCAGAAAATAGTGCTTCGATTTGTTTGGCATAAAGGGTTCAAAGTATCCCTAAAATTATGTTTGAATTGATGAACATTTAGCTTACTGAGTTCGACCCGTAGCTGTGTTAGGATGGACAAGCCTTTTGGATCATAAAAACGATTGACAGTGAAACTTCCTTGAAAATATTAATAGAGCTGGATAGTCTATTTTCAGAGTCGGGCCTTTCCCATTCCGATAAGCAGTTTTGGTAGAAGCTTAATTTGAAACATAGGGTTCTTTTTTCATTAGATTAGGTAATACAACATCATGACTAAAATCGCAAATAACATGTAGGATATGGTTTTTCTGAGGCTGCTGCTGGTGGGAGAAAAGGAGGATCAACCCTTAGACATAAAGAATGTCCCAAAATCTTTTACAAAATAGCGTTATAGAAGTGACACAAATAATTTCAAGATGCTTATCTCCTAACTTACTAGTACTGGGAAGTCGGGCTTTCTCAAAAAGCGTCACTTACTCGAGGTGTTTTGCTCCTTGGGATGCTGTCAAGAAGCCGCCCGACTATTAAAATTTTTCAACGCCTTGCCAGTTTCCTACCAATCGCTTCGCCTTAGTCTAGAGGGAATAATCTATTCTTTTCTTGAAGTTTGATGTTGAATGGTACGGATGTCCTATTCAAGTGAAATGTTCCATCCAACACAGGTGTTTGATTCCGGAAAGATTGATGGTGGATAGAGACATGTCTTATGGGAAAGTATGAAAAGAAAAGACTTACTTTGATTTACCGGCTCTCTTCTCTATATAACCATTCTCGGTACCTGAAAAAAATCAGTTGGCATCAGTCTTTACACGATACATTAAAGATGAAGCGATCTTCTGTAAGACGTAAGTAAGGTTTTTGCTCTAATCGGCTCGAATTATACATATATTCATCATTTTAGTCTCAGGTAACAAGGCTATATCTAATGGTCTATATTCTTGTTCTAGGTTCCAGTGGGGGTATGGTTGATGGAGAAAAATTGAAGACAGAGCAACCCGAGACTACTGTGAAAGAGCAACTTGTTGATGTTGAAGGTAAAATAATATCGTCTTCTGTCATTACTAGGACACATAGTTCCTGTGTTCTGTCAAAACTAATATTGAATGAATGAGAAACCGTAGCAAACCAGATAGATCTTTGGTATGATAAAATTAATTATCTGTATGCTTTTTCCGTCAATCTTTTGCTGTAAAAATTTAGGACATACAATTTTCCTGTCACACGTTATCCAGGCGCTGCTATTTATTAGATCAGATTATCTTCCTTTTTGAAGCATTCGTAATTATTACACTATTACTAGGCGTAGCTTAATAACTTCAAAGGGTGATTCTTTAATTCTTTGGTAATGTCTCTTAAAATGTTTCAACTAAATTGTTAAGGCCTTTAGCATCAATGTCTGTAATCGTTTATTACCAATTGACAGAGTCTACGACTTATGAAAACTGTGAATCTCCTTGAAAAGCTCACAAAGTATTGCATTGGAGTTAGACATTCTGTGACTCTGTACTTCAAGATGTCTGAGGTTATCTTTGTTTTGTAAATTCTAAACGTTAATGAATATTACCTCTAAACCGAAGGCCAAGAGAAAAGATGGTTGGCATTTGAATCAAATGGAACATTGTGGATAAGCATGGATCAAGTGAAGGCTGAGTTCTCAAAAAATATACAAAGCTCGACTCTCCGCAGCAGAATGCACAGATTGAAGATAAATTGCAAGAAACCTGAGGGGATCCTGCGCTTGAAGCTCGAAGAGAAATTTGGACCACGTAAAGGTGGGCATTACGTCATCCCATTAGACAGTCTTCATTTGCTGCTACAGAAGCAGAGTGTGCTTCAACTACCACAAGCAGCAGTCGCCAATGTGGAGGCGGGTACAAGTTACGAAGCAGCTTCAAGCATGCAGGATGGAGTGTCTTCATTTGAAGTATTTTTCGAAAAGCTCCAGGAATTCTACACGGATGAAATAAACCCGTTAAGACCATCAAACGGTATGACAGCAGGGACAATCGAACGCCACACAAGAAGGTTAAAGAAGTTCTTTGAACATGTAGAAGAGACATATAACAGACCCCCACAAATGGAGGATGTTACAAACATCAACTTTGTTAGGGCATATGTGGCGGAATTGAGGAGGGAGCTAAACGTGGGTACAGTTGCCAACCATATTCAAAGCCTGATAGTGGCAGCAAAATATATTCTGAAAAAAGAGGGCCTAACAAAAAGTTGGCATGAAATTGCAGAAATAACACAATTGAGGCACATGCAGGCCCAACTGCAAGTGAGTATTCCAGTTCACCTTAGCTATATATATTTTCGCTTTTCATTAGAAATTCTACAATAGGAACTTGAGTTGCATTTCATTCTATATCATAACATTAAATTCTGGCTGCCTAAATTCTACTGTCAAGAATGGTTGATGAAGCCAGCCGAAGTAGAGTCATTTAGTATATTCAATTTTTTTTGAAATTCTTTTTGACTACATTGGATTTTCACCGTCCTGTGGCTTAGTTAGCGGCTATTATTCCTATTTTAATCAGCGGACAGCATATCCTGCGTTCCTTTCTATTTACACATACATTTTACACATCGCTTTTTGATATTTTTAGTTTAAATTTACCACTGTTTTTTTAGAGCCTCTATGAGAGAGAGCGGAGACAAAGGTACCCGGAAGCCGATGAAAGAAAGAACTTTGAATGGAAACAGGTTTTAGAAACATTAAAATTGATGAGGGACAGGATAATTTCGTCGAAAGAGATGGATGGGTATCAAAAGGCAAGGTTATACCATGATTTTGTAATACTTTTATTGTTCACCACAGTGAGCCCATCAAGGAATGCAGATTTGATGAAACTAAAAATACTATTTGACGAGGAACAGGGAAGTGTTTCAGAAAACTACATTTTATTTAAGGAAAATGGCAGCACTACAATGGTTGTAAATGATTTTAAAACGAAGAAAAAATACGGGTGCAATAGAGTGGACATCTCCAGTTACGATTATGTCAACCAACATCTACGTAAATATGTTGAGGAGGAGAGGGAGAAGCTTATGTTGAGTAAGAGACATGATTTTCTTCTAATGAAGGGCAAGGGGCAACCATTTGACACATCTGAGTCGTTTACTGTTTACATCGAAAAGGCGTTTCAGCGACACAATGGGGGCTTGAAGTTCACAACTACGACCCTCTGAAAAGCGCTCGTAAACTGGCTAATGTGCAACGAGAAGGAGGACGAAGTAAGAAATTCAGTTGCAAGACTCATGAGCCACTCACCACGAGTTCAGCGCCTTCGCTACAACACAGATGATTCAGCAAGAAAAATAAAAAGGGCCGCTGACCACCTCACTTCTAAAACATTGACTTTTTTGGGAGAGGACGATAATGACACAGAAACAGAAGCAGAAGATACCCCTTTATAAATTTCACAAGGTTTAACGAACGTTAATAATTACATTATTTTAGAAAGCTAAGACATTGCTAATTTCGTGTTTTAGCTAGTCGTATTTTAGAAATTATTTAACATTACTTGTAACAATATTTTATCTTTCTGATCCAAGGTTGTCAACATAATCACTTGCCTTTGCCTTTTTTCAATCTTTATATGCATGTTTGTATTATTGCCTGTGTCATTTTTCATTAAGTAAGGTTAATTGATTGATTTGCGGAAAGCTCTATTTACTTTTCTGACCAGCAGTTTATCAACATATCCAACACATTTGCATGCTTTCTAGGCATATCAATTTACGGTGTATTATTCTCTGTCACCAATTCTATATACCAAAGCAGAAAACGTAATTAGTAGATTGAAATGGGCATGCCGTAGCATATCCTTGGCAGCATTTCATGCTTTTTGTATGCAGAAACAAGTTTAATTGCGCACTTAGCATGAACAAAGATTATGGGAGCTGAATTGATATCAAAATGATCGTTATCTTTTAGTTTAGTTTGTATTCCAAGGTAAACTTAAATGACTCATTTCTAAAGAAATAAATTAGAAATTGCAAATTTTATCAATAGCTAGATCGTCAACGAAAAGGTTTTTTGAGTTACATAAACAATTTTGCATGGTTATGTAGTGTACCTAACCACCTCAGCATTATTATGATTATGGTCACAAAGCCTCTGCTTAATTTTGCAAAAGAAAGCCATTTCCAAATCGTTTGCTTTGATTTTGTGAGCTATTTTGTTTAACACTCCCTCTTTTCATAACAGTAGAAGATCACATTAATAAATGCGCCTGAGCCAAGTTTCGAAATGCAAATAGTTATGAGAAACGCGTTGACAGATTGTTCCGCAAATCACGTGTCATTTCAGCGTTTGGAGGCTGCGTTTTGAGAAAAATTTTCTAAGTGTCACGGTCTGGGTTGTACGAAATTCGTACTGCCGGAAATTGGATAACAATCAAGAGAAAAAACAAAAGGGACATTTGCATAAAACACAGGCGCAACAACGATTGACAAAGGCATTTACACCTCCCGCAGACTAACGACAATAGACAATGGTTCAAACCCTAACCTTTCAAAATCTGTGGTTTTTGAAACCTTTCCACAAACTAATATCTTCCTAAAAAAAACACAAAATGGGAATAGCTTGCAAAATGCTGCCAATTTGCCCGAAATTTAGCGTAGAATTTGAAAATGGTCTCGATTGAGACATTTCAGGCTGCTGCGATTTGAGAAAAATTTCAAAGTGTCACTACTGTGTGTAAAATGTTGAAAATGAAAATTTCGGGATTTTCACGTAAAAGGCTAGTTTAACTGATAACAAGGCCTGGCACAGTTGGGGAATTTGCAATTAGGACCTAAATTTTGAGTTATTCATTGTTTAAGAACGGGGTTGGAGGGGTCGCGCTTGTTGTTCTGGAGAGTGAACTTGAGGAAGGCACGTTGCGAGTTGCCTTGAGAATTAAACCCAAAAACGGGACAGGTTTGGAAATTCAGTCAATTTGGTGGAAATTCAGTGTAGAATTGGGAAATGGTGTCTTTTTGAAAGATTTTGGGGCTTTATTGTTGAACAAGTCCCATGCAACAGGAAACCGTTTGAGTTTTCAGGCTGCTGCGATTTGAGAAAAATTTCAAAGTGTCACTCCTGTGTGTAAAATGTTGAAAATAAAAATTTCGGGTTTTTCACGTAAAAGGCTAGTTTAACTGATAAAAAGGCCTGGCACAGTTGGGGAATTTGCAATTAGGACCTAAATTTTGAGTTATTCATTGTTTAAGAACGGGGTGGAGGGGTCGCGCTTGTTGTTCTGGAGAGTGAACTTGAGGAAGGCACGTTGCGAGTTGCCTTGAGAATTAAACCCAAAAACGGGACAGGTTTGAAAATTCAGTCAATTTGGTGGCAATTTAGTGTAGAATTGGGAAATGGTGTCTTTTGGAAAGATTTTGGGGCTTTATTGTTGAAGCAGTGCCATGCAACAGGAAACCGTTTGAGTTTTCAGGCTGCTGCGATTTGAGAAAAATTTCAAAGTGTCACTCCTGTGGGTAAAATGTTGAAAATAAAAATTTCGGGTTTTTCACGTAAAAGGCTAGTTTAACTGATAACAAGGCCTGGCACAGTTGGGGAATTTGCAATTAGGACCTAAATTTTGAGTTGTTCATTGTTTAAGAACGGGGTGGAGGGGTCGCGCTTGTTGTTCTGGAGAGTGAACTTGAGGAAGGCACGTTGCGAGTTGCCTTGAGAATTAAACCCAAAAACGGGACAGGTTTGAAAATTCAGTCAATTTGGTGGCAATTTAGTGTAGAATTGGGAAATGGTGTCTTTTTAGGAACCTGGAAGGGGAGAGGGTGGGATGTTTTTTATTCCTTCGGGAATAAAATAGTCTGAGGATAGCCTAAACTGTTTGCATGACAATGCTCGTGAGGGAGGGAGGTTTGCATGAATCGACGATAAACCCTAGTTGCAAGTGTTTTGTTGTGTGTTTCTAGGGTGGGGGAGACGGTTTTGGAAACGTAGGTGTCACAGAGAAATACGTAATAGCAAAAAATACATTTGTTCACTTACTTCGTCGCTAGAATCAATCCTAAACAACCAAATAGCAACCATGTTTCGTATCTTCGACCCACGCTGCACAGCAGTTTCCAAAACTAATTAACCCTGTGTAGACAATGGTTTGGTATGTGATTGTTGACAGGCATCAACTAGTATTGAAGTAGGAGGAGTATTGTAAACGAAAACAATACCACGCAATCTGATGCTACGTTTTCCATAAAAAGGGGTCCTCGAATGCAAAAAATCAGTTTTCATGAGAAGTCATGAGCGAAGTCAAGATGGACCAGGAATATAATGAAGATGGTGAGTACATTGCAGTTCACTTGTTTGTGCTTTTTGTTCTGAAATCTATTTGGTGCTTTTGGTAAAAAAATATTGTTTTCCTAGAACACTGATGAGACCATCATTGATCCATTAATCAATTATCAAAACAAATTCATTTATTTTCGTTAAATTAATTTATTTGAGCCAGCCCCCAAATTTATTGATAAGGACCAACTTTCCAAGCCCTGCCCCCAGCCAAATTAGTAAGAGCTCAGCCACTGTTGAAACAAACCGCTTTCTAGTTAGTGCCTTGTTTTATTTCAAATGATTTCAGCTACTGTAGGGAATCAGTTTTTTCTGCGTAACTTACATTCTATTTTTTTGAATCTATTTTAGTGGAGCAGAAATTTGGGGTGCAGCGTGATGCAATGGAAGACGAAGAAGACGATACGCAGATCGTAGAAGATGAGATCCCCCCGCCCCAAAGTAAGAAACTCTCAGCACATTTTTTCAATCGTCAGAATTTTATTTTAATATATCAATGTTCACGCCGACCGAGAAGAATCGAGAATTAAAAAGAACAAACCCCCTTCTGGTGTCTTGTTGTATTTCTAGTTATTATAAAATCTCTACACCGTCTTTTTTCCGTGAATCTAACCATTTACTTTTTGGATTTCTTATAGTGGATTTCTTCGATGAAATTGCCGACGAGGAGAATACGCAGATCATGGCAGACGAAATACTCCAGATTACGCCAAGTAAATGCCCTCTTTCATTTATAATAATAAAGTATATAGATACATTCATGCTCAGAATCATCCAATTTT